TCTGAATACTTATGACCATGTGATATTTCAGTTTTTCTTTTTTAATAAATTTGCAAAAATTTCTACATTTCTGTTTTTTTCTGTCAAGATGGGGTGCTGAGTGTACATTAATGAGAAATAAAATGAACTTTTTTGATTTTAGCAAATGACTGCAATGAAACAAAGAGTGAAAAATTTAAAGGGGTCTGAATACTTTCCGTACCCACTGTATATATATTTGTGTGTGTGAATGTGCTAGTGCCTGCATGCTTGCGTTCATGCCCTCAGGGAGAGATGGGGGGGGCGGTGCTGGAGCCTTTCCAGTTGCTGATGCATTACAGGCAGATTGAGCCCCCCAAATCGGATTATTTTTGCAGCGGACTGACACCACACTGAGATGACATCTCCTTTAAAGTGGAGAGGGCCTCCACTCACACTCTGGCCACTACTTAAGCAGCAGCTTCAATATAATTCATTTATGTCCTGGACACGGGCTTCAACCTTTTGAATAACGCAAGAGCACTGCGTTTACCATTAGAGAAATGAATGTCCCCTACACGTAACCGGGGGTGCATCCTGATGTAAAACACAATATTTCCTAATGCTGTCTGGCTCCTCCTGTACAAGTATGTGTGTGGGTCTCCGGTGCCTCAGAGAGCTGATTCTCTGGGAGACGTATTGTAATATTTATGTTCTTTTGATGTACAATTAGCACGTCAGCTTCTGGAGTGGATCGTCTAATCCGGTGCCACTTCAAGCCCTCTTTAAAATAGATCTAGTGTGTGCGGCAGGTAATTTAGTGTCACTTCTTTGTGCCTCGGCCCCCCCTCCCCTCCCCTCTCGGCCCGCCCGCTCGTCATAAGGTTAGCGCGCTGCGTAATTGATACTAAATTTCTCATGATGTGGATAGCACAGTTCAAGTGGTGCGGTGTACCTAAGAGTCGCGTTGTTCCCAGCCCCCCCCCCCCCACTCCCCAGTTTGTCATCACCACCAGTTCATGCATAAAATGATATGCCTCGCTCATTGACATGGAGTAACGCTTATCTCGCTTGCCCCGATAAATAAAAGTGTGTTTTTCATTGTTGTCCAGGCTGGAACAGAGACAAAACAGAAACACAACAGATAAGCTCTGCTTATTGTCTTTTTTTTCTTTTCCGCTAGAGAAAGTCCTAAAAGTCAGTGTTTGGTGTGCTGGTGCGAAGTTAATCTGATTTTAATTTAATTATAGGAGTTAGTTGCGGAGGGCACAGGCATCGAGGTGTTTGTTGTAAGAATGTTCTGACATTGGCGCAGGTATGGGGCAGCTAGCATGTTAATTAATGATGAAGATCCTGACAATATGCAGAGGCATGACAGCGTTAAGCCAGTCGGCTGCTGCTTCCTTTGCATATTAATAGATCCTTCATTATTATTTAATATGACAGCTGCTCCAAGGGCTACCATCAGACCTTGTCTGTGTTATTTGCTGTTTTGTGCTCCTCATGTGACAGTGCCATGCTATTCTCCTATTTGTCCAAATGCTCCTCTTCCTCTTGTCGGGCTGATGTGGCTCTCTACATGCGGCTGCGCTGTTTGTTTTGTGCACCGGAGGACTCTGACTCGCGTCTATATGAGGGGGGGGGGGTCTGATTCTAAAGGTGACTTTGAAAGAATATACGAGGCAGGATTGTTTTGTTTGCATAGTAATGAATGCAGATTAGCACTGAGCGGGATTGGTCTTGTTGACGTTCAGACTTCCAGTAGCTTAATGGACTTGTTGCTGGGCGCCGGCGTCTCCCCGGCTTCCTTATTACAGCCACTGCATCGGGGCGTTCGTCATCGGGATATGACAATTGATCCGCCCAAATGGAACAATTATCAGAACAAAGATTTCAATTCATGGAGTGTGTCATTTAGTCAAAGACAGGCCGGGGGGGATGATGAATGGAAAAAACGGAAAAGCGATCATTCCGTGTGTTTCGCCACGGTGAAAATCAATTCTTAGCATTTTATTTACTCGATGCGTATTTGATCAAAACCTGTCACCTTCTTCTTCATGGATTCATTTCTTCTTCTTTTTTTTCCTCTCTCTCTCTTTTCTTTTCTTGTTACCATTTGTTTGTGTTAAATATAGTCCAAGGAAGCGGCGAGGACACGCAAGCTGCAGTGCAATAAACCACCAGCCTCTCACAGCCAAAGTTAGAGAGCGTCGGAAAAGCTCCACTGCGGCACTCCTCTTGAGCGGCACCTGATTTGTGGGGGGAATTTATCACACAAACAGCCCAGAGGTGATTTCAATATTTACTCGGCGGTCTGTTCTGCATACGTCTCATTTGGAAAACAGTTGACTCTCGCCCATTATACACAAATGAAGGCTGACCTTCAGACTGGGCAGAGGCCACATTCATTATGTGGAGAAGTATCACCTTCTTATGAGGCAATGCCCCCCCCCCGCATGTTCTGCCCATGCATATTGAACAGCAGCCGGGGCCCGGTGCAAACGAGAGGGCCCTCTGTGACATGATGTATACTGTACGTCAATATGGTGCTGATGTATTTTAAGATGCAAACAAGGCTTTAAATTATATGCACCTCCATGTCAGAGGCTCAGAGTGACTCTCGCCATCTGCCTATCAGCTTGTTGGGATGAGGGGAGAGAGGGGGGGGGGGGGCGCCCGGGCCGGTGCATCTCTGGTGCGCACGTTTCCGTGTATCTGATAGAGCCACATGTTCGAGTTCTACTCCTCCTTGTACTCCTCCCCCCCCCCATTGGCTAATAGCCGCTCTTGAGTCCCATCAGGGAGACGAGACAGCTCTGTGATGATAAACGCGGACGTCGTCTTGTTCTGCGTCAAGTGAACCCGCGTATCCAGTACACAGCGGCGTGCTGTAAAGAGGGCAGGTGATATACAGTGTTGTGGATATGACTGATTCCGCTAATAGGCGCATATCTTTTTTTTTTTTTTTTTTTCTCCCCTCGCCGTGAATCTTTGATTTTGTTGCCGGAGGTTGGACGAGAAGGAGTCGGGGGACTCTCCTGAGACGCACCGGGGCCTGGAAGAGCTTTAGCGCTATCTGTCCCTGCTGTTTGAGAGCGGCCTCATGAATAAAGATTTCAGTCACGTTAGCCAGAACCCTGGAAATACCACAATGACAAACCAGTGCTTTATGATCTCTGCAGTGTGCTCGGCATACGCACGTACGTAATCTCAGACTCACTGCATCAATCACATGGAGTCCATTGCGATCAGGGTGGACGCACCAGCGTCAAACACTGCTGTTCCAGCACGTGTTTACAGACGGCCGCGGAAACGTGAATGACCATTTTAAATGTGATGTCAATAGTTATTTAGTGTGCAGATGAAAAACAGCAGCCTCGGGTCTGAAGACGATCCATGTAGAATGCTCAGAGAGATTTGGCATGTTGTCAAACAGTTTTAAGTGCTGCACACTGATTAATGAATTGCTGTATTGTAACATTGAAGCTTCCATAGAACCAGTTCTGCAGCCTGTGTTACAGAGTGCACAGGTCACACTGCCAGAGTAGTTTTCACGTTTTATTTGGGCAGTAAAAAGTCTCCATGTTATGCTATAATCCATCCTCCCTTTTCATTGGACTTTGTGGTGCCCCTATCCCCAAAAGGGTATTTTTGTCCGTCGCGTCATTCATTTCCTGAGTACATTGGGTTTTGCTTTTGAGAATGCAATAGTGACGCTATTGACTCGCATACATTCCTTGACATTTTCTTTTTTTTATTAGAGCATTAGCTAATTTCCGCACGTGGCCTTCCAAGTGTTGAATGTACTCAAAGCCGTTTACAAAAAACAACCTTGAATCCTCGGCGCATTCTTTAAAGTTTTCCGTTCTGCTTGATGACTGGCCTCGACTCTCAGAAGAGCCGTGTTATTATGAGACACTACACTATATAGCTGTGAGGAATTTGAATACTTGAATAATGCTAGGCATTATTCAAGGCGATTAGATCTGCTGAATACATTAGACGCTATCACACCTCGATAAGGAGATTGTTAGGACACAGCTCTCTCTCTCTGTTTGTTCACGTGTTGAAGATTTCTCTTTGTCTCACTTTATCTCTCCCTCCCCCCCCCCCCCCCCCCACTTGTCTCACTCTGTATCACTGTTCCTCTATTATATGTATGAATACGAGTCTATTATATGTTGTACATACAAAGTGCCTACATCATGCACTGTTATATTGACTGCATCTGTTCCCATCATGGTACAAATACATCAATATAGCGGTGAGCAATGACCAACATTCACAAAAATCATATTCCTTTACACACACATCCCATCAGCATGATAACCTGCTGTGAAGATATCCCCCTGTCAGAAGATGAAAAACCAAGCTGTGATCTCATAGGCTCTTATTCCCCGTAGTGTATAAAATTATTCATTGTTTTATTATTTCAAAAGTCCTTTTTCTTTGTGTTTTTCCCTTTCCCTTGCCAGGGCAGCTTTTTCAGAGAGGTTTTGCAGGTGCAGCGGCTCAGCCCCAGCAGACATGTAGTGCGTGGTCTGTAAGTGCTCTGTCTCGTCTCTCCTGCCTCCTCTCTCCAGGCCTGACAGCGGCGGCGGCAGCAGCTGCCAACGCAGCCATTGCAGAGGCCATGAAGGTCAAGAAGATCAAGCTGGAGGCGATGAGCGGCTACCACGGCAACGCCAACCACCATGGGGTCGACGGAGAGAATGGAGACCTCAGCTCCAGCGTCGGTGAGGACACGTTCGCACTCGCATGAACGGAAGGCAAATGCATGTTGCAAAACTGTCTGATGTGCAGACACCAACACACACACATTAGGATGTTAATGCATTCATATCTCCTTTTTGACGCACACTCGGAGGATTCAGAGACCTAAGTTGAAGGGGTTTTATTAATACGGCCACACGATTTTGGCAACCCATTATTGGACAATGGTAGGGCACATCACAAAACAATACATTACTTTAACTTTAAAATACTTACAATACAATATACAATGTATATAGAATATAGATAACTGCTCAAATTTGAAATGGGGACAATATGTTCAGGCTGAAGTAGGTGTGGCCTGTACTGAGAGATTTGCCTAGAACCAAGGATTCCTGCTACTCCGTCATGCTGTCAGAGCTACCATGGAGCCCACACTGTCACTAACTGCACTCTCTGAATAAATATATTCTAATTTGTGGAATAAACAAAAAGAGATATCAGAGAGAAGCAGACATGAGGGTGTACAATATGTGTTTGAAGGGAATATCCAGGATGTCAAACTGATTCATCAGTGAAAACAGGTTAGAAAGACAAAGATAGAAGCTAAAGCTACAGATCACAGTGTAAAAGTGAACCACCTGACGATTGAGACAGATATCAATAAAATGAAGGAACAAAAGTGTTCCTGTAAAGCAGGTAGGTCTTTATTCACTGTTACAATCATTAAAATGCAGTATGTGTACGTATTCACTATACATTCAGTAGCTAGCGTAGCTTAGAAGTGCTAACGCTAGTTCATTATGTGATAACTGCTAATGTTAGCTTTCTACGTAGAAACATATAGAAACGTATATCTCCTTCCAACGTCTCCGGAGTATCACTGTTCCACATCATTTAACAATGACGAGTTCCAAATCCACTAAATAAGCCTGAACCAAATTTGGTCGGAGAGGGACGGTGCTACGCTATGATTGGCTGGTCTGCATTCGAGGGGTGGGACTTATGTTGTGTTCACGCCAAACGCAAAGCAAATTTTCTTGTGGAAGTCCCAGATATCCAGGTAAACTTACCACCGTTGTGTCTGGGTTCATAACATCATCCGGAGGCGTTTGGTGTTTTATCTAGCAGGCCACAGGCTGGTTCACTACAGCTGTATCAACCCAAAACAATTTAGCTGTGATTTAATTGCAATAAACGGATAAAAGGGATGCCGAAATAACTACATAATGATGCCGATTTGTAAAAAGTCTGAATTCATGCCTTGTTAGTTCTCTCCGCAAGATCTCAAGCAAACAACTTTTAAAATGCCTGTTATCTGAACGGAGCTTGGATCAATCGGTGCTAGGCTTTGCTAACATTGTAGCTGCTCCATCAACACTCAAAATAACGTCATATAGGCGCAAATACGGCAGCGTCGAATATTTGTATCCTATGGTTTATACACATACATTTACAAACATAGTCTGGTCTCTGTATCAATATGACATAATGTAGCGCTCAGGGTGAACACCTGCCGCTAAAATATATCTTTTTTCCTCCATTTCTTATTCAACAACGTCAGGACGTCAGTGGTGGAGGAGAATCTCAACGCTGGATTTCTCATTTGCGTGATTTTGCATGTACTTGCATCCATTTGTGTCTTTGCTTCGATTTCGTATGCAATCTCGTTGCGCGAAAAATTAGCTTTGCGTTTGTTGTGAACACGGCCCAATCGAAGGGTCAGTTGCTTGTACGAGTTCAACAGTAACAAAATGTAGAGCGCTTTATAAATATGTCACGCTATTTCTTCGGACCACAACCAAAAGCTTATCACTCGTTCTTTGTCTCTCCCCCAAATTCAGTTGCACTGTGTCATGTAGCTTTTTACATATTATGCATAACTCTAAAAACTAACCGTCTTTGCCAGAGGTGATGAATCATCCCACACAAACCAAAGACATGACCGTCTCCACTGCTGTACTCTTAATAAACAGTTTGCATGCACTGTAATTATCCAAAGCGGTGAGGTAAGTCCTGTTTTCTCTTGAAGTGTTACACGTTTGTGTTGAAAGAAAGAAAAAGAAAATAAAAATAATGAAATTGTTAATAGCTAAGTGAAACTGTGAACACAGTTTCCCAAAGCTATCAGCTTTTAACAAGGTCTAATTGAATTGCTGTGAGAGCATTGTTTTTTTTCACTCTGTGCCATTTCAATTAATTATTAGCCCCAAAAAGCAGAAGGATTTTCCCAATATCACATGGAACCACTTAGTGTATTAAAGAGAATGATAATGTATGTTAGTGCGGATTCATGAGCCCATACCAAATTATAAACCAAATGTAATCCCCATAGCTTTGGTTGCTAAATGGAGGTTTTGATTCACTTACTGTAATAAATGGCTCGGCTCCTGAATGCATTTCATCAGTAACACTTGACACCGCCGAGCTTATGGCGTGTGAGATGAAAACAGGATGCGTTTCTAAGCAGATTTAACAATGCAGAATTCATAAAGTGTGAGGTCATCACTCCAAGAGAATGGGGTATGTAAAAAAAAAAAAAAAAAAATACGAGGTCACGGAAATAAAGATAAATGCGAGTACCAACAGCAAGGCTGTGGCAATGGAGCTAATAAGAAACTGTTTTATCTTTTTACAATTTAAATTGCAACCTTGAGCCCACAGCCAGCCACACAGGCTCCCGGTAGAATCATAATTCTGGCAAGGGGGAGCAGCTCTAGGTGTGGGTGCACGGGGGCCACAGCATTAGCTCTCTGAGTGAAATATATGGCAGCGACGCCTCTCGGCCCCATCCACAATCAATTGGATTCTTTTTCCTTTAATATTTACTCGCAGCGATGAGATGCTCGTCTGCATGGTGATGAACAGTCTGCCACTGGCGTTTGAAGGTGACCTGTCAGCGAGTATGGACAAATCTCTCGCTCGCAGAAATGTAGAAAATAAATCATTAGGGGCAGGCAGTCAGACAGGGGCCTCTCTCTCCCTCTCTCTCTCTCTCTCTCTCTCTCCCGCTCTCTCGCTCTCCTCGGATTTAAATCAGCTCAGATTTATGATTTGAATTAATGCTTCGTTTGGTCAAAGGAATGGTCGCCGAGACAAATGATGTTTGGTACTGAAGCCATCCTAATATTGATTGCCGTGTGTCGCAGCAATCTCTTGTTTATATCAAGCACTCTCCTGTGACAGGGTGGCCAGCAGGAGTCATCCCGATAATACGCCGGAGAAATATGGCCCCTCGCTCGGCACCGCCGGGGCCACGGAGCGCAGTCAGCAGTGTGCTGCCTTCTTCATCCTTCGGCCCCATGGCTTCCACTCACATGTTTATTTTTGGATTTTAGATTTTTGTTATTTCACAAGAAGTGAATTACAGAATTGTTCCATAAGTGTCTCACTCGTATTTTGTGAGTGTGAATGCCTAATATGTCCAGCTCTGGAGCCCATTCATCCAACAGCAATCCAAAAGACATAAATCACTTGACTGATACAGCACGGAGCTGCTTTTGGCCGTGGCTTTGTTGGGACTGGACCCCGCTGTTGATCACAGTGCTGACTAGGCTATGACTTCATGCATGTTGTTTTTGTTTTTTTTAAATCAGACCACAGCTGCTCTTGAGGAAACGGACTGGAGTTTGTTTTTTTACAATCACCCAGCTTAAACTAACGACGTGTTTACTTACACAAATGATGTTACCAGCCACAATATGATAATGAGGATGATAATACCTACTAAGGGACATAGATCCATTTAATCAGAGAGAGCTTCTACATAAAGCCATTGGAGAGAGAAAAAATGAAAGTAAAAGCTCCTCAGGGCTAAAGTACAGGTGCCTCATCTCAGTGTTTGTCTGAAGCAGATCTCTGTGAGGAGCTTTAAAGCGAGAGCACAGCCGAGCCAGCCGGTGAAGGACACTCTGTTCTGTTTGTAGAGTTGGATTGCCTGTCGATGTCTTTGTGTTGATGTAAATTGAACAGGCTAATGTTTCTCCCTCGCATTAAATATTCATCACAATTAGACCTTCCTGTTTGCATCAATGTTATTAATTATAAGGAAGAAGAATAAAGAAGAGAAAAAACAGCCAGTTCAACTCTCAGCCAGAATAACCAACCACCCTGGGTGTGGGGGGGGGGGGCATAGATAGATATGTTTGTAGGAGTGACTGAGAGAGAGAGAGACATGGGAAAGAGAGATAGAATGAGAGAGGTGTGTGCCTTTCTTTGATTCCCCCCTCACACCCTGTAGTTGGGCAGGGGGGGCCCTCTCAAAGCACAATGTGGATTGTTCCCCGCGCCTCTCAGGAAATGCCACAATTACAGATCACAGACCAAGCAAAACACGTGTGGCGCTGGGCCTTTAGGGGGATAAACAGCCCCGCCGCTCCCTCCCAGTGCATTGACCCCAGCCACAACCTTCATTACTGGGAGAGGAAATATTGTCAGCTGCCCACTAACAAACACCTGCCAATTCCAAGAGAAGGAATTGCTTCTCTTTTTTTTTTCTGCAGCGGAAGGAAAATAAGTGTTTCTCCGACCTGCAGAAAAGGAGTGGGAAGAAAAGATAAGGCGGTGCTCAGCCTTGTCTTTCTTTCTTGTTTTTCTCTTCTTGTTTTTTTTTTTTTAACTCTGTCTCACATGCCTCCCCATCTTCCGCCCTCTGTCTCTCTTTGGCCACTGGGTGCTGCCCTGCCACTCATCTGAGTCCTCACCACACAGCTCTAATGGAGCTGAAATCCTGTTTGTAATTAGATATGGGAATTCCGCTGTCATGGGCCAGCTGATGCCGCGACACGCCGACCGAACGACTCGCCGACAGACGAGTGAAAGGGGAGGACGCAAAAAGCCGCTGTCGCTAACTTTCCGTGTTTTTTCTTTGTAACGTACCTTTTGAATTAATCCCAAACACCGCTACTAAGCCCTATAAGCACTCCTCCAAAAAACCTGAAAGCCCTTTTGTCTCACATCTGTGGCTTCCGTCCAGGCCCGTCTGCGCCCCAACCAGGAGTGGCGAGCCACATGCTGGAGGCTG